TTTCTGACGTTGTTTACTTCTGCTTTTGATTGATCTTCTCGCAAAGCATTTTTTTCTGATTCACATAACTTAAGAATATCATTCAGTCCCGCCGAATTAGGTAAAAGTCTGCCTTTTTCCTAATCTCGGCCTCAGATACTGATTCGATTATATTGTCACATAAACAACGGTCATAGTAAGATTTGCAGGGATCCGTTAACTGAAATAATTTTAATTTTTCCCTATAGAAGGATATAAATGGCTCACCAACCTCTTGTTTTCTTTGCATGAAGTGGCTACGTCTTACTCGGTTATTTTCTGTCTTTTTGAAATATTCTTCTATTTTGTCCAATATTATTTCTGGGTTTTCATCTAATACATTATACACTTTAATATTAGTCGGACTACATCTAAAATATTTTGCTCAAAGAATGATGATAGGCCACTACTTGTTTTGAGGATGAGGTCTGGATATTAATTCCCTGAATCACCAAATAGCTTTCAAATTTTCGCCTCCAGTCTTTATATTGAGCATATGTGAAAGTATCTGTAATCTCTTCAGGGATTGGGATTGAATCAGATTGGAAGAATTTTCCAATGCTTTGCTTTAAATAGACGTAAAAATATTATCAGTATAGCTGTTTGAACTCGCATTATTTTTTGGAAAGGAATCTAACTGGGTCTGGACATTTCCTAAGTTAGTCTTATGAATACCTTGAGCCTCAAACATTTTATTTTGTGATTCCTGGATTTGCTTCAATTGTATATTAAATAATGACTCCAATTCCATCAATGATTTCTTGGTAAATTTTTCAAGAGAAGTTATATGTGCCTCTACAGGATCGGTGTTGGAAGGAGGATTATCTTCTTGTAAAAATTTCTTTTTCCTCATGACTTTTGGCATTATAATGAACTTTCAATTGTATGGTTCTACCACTTTATAAATTACTGTGCTGCGCCATGATACGATCAATAATTATAATAAATTGTATCTATCATTTATTAAAAGTAATTATTGGACAACTTGTCACTGACAACTCTAAAATTTATATAACAGGGTGATCACTCATGATGTAACTTCATGAGGATGTTTACCTGGATTAGGTATCATTATAACTTCTACCACCTTTCACTTATTTGGTATGTAGTGTAGTTAAAGAACGCATTAATAAGATTGGTCATTTTAAGAATAGCTTTCGGTGGAAGCATTTTCATAATTTCCACATAAACTTCTGTCTTCTTGTGCTAGTTCCATCCAGTCTTAAATATCTTTACCATTATTGAGAATAAAGATACTGTCTAAATGTTATGCAAATTTGTTTGCTTTTTGCAAATTGTTTCGGGGCCAGCTTCCATCTTTGTTTCTGATTAGTGGGTTATGTATAGTAGACCTTTTTAATCGTTTGAAAGCTTTCCAGATTGAGTAGTCGGTACTTTCTCGTTAGTTAAGTCATTTAAGTATTCGCCAATCGAGTTATTTCACGTTTTATGTGTTGCATTGTTTAAAGTTGTTTTTTTATCTGATGCTCTAGATTGCTGCCATTTTCTGCTAATTTTCCTATTTTTTAAGATAAGATTTTTCATCTCTTTTGGATAATTAAGTATTATCTTTCATTCTATATTTAATCTCAGGAGTGTTTTCCCACGCAGCTTGTTGAATATTTGTTCCTCAGTTCTTAATCGAACCGAGAGGTCAATTAGAATTTCTGGGTAGATTTTAAAGCTTTTTCAATATGTGCTCTTGTTGACTAGTTTTGGTACATGTTCTTTTTTGATTAGAATATTACTCAATGTGAGAGGTATAAGAGAATGATCTGAGCTCATGTCCCATGATTCTTCTATATGCATATAATTTGAGGCAATATTCTTCTTTATAAAAAATCTATGAGTTCAGGAATTTACATCGAATCTATGGGCCAGTATATAGGCCTTCCAGTTGACATTGTTTGCCATTTGTGTTGATAGCATGGTGCTAATAGTTCTTGTCCTTTGATTGTCTAGATCCCCAGTGAATATGTTTTGCATTAAAGTCTCTTCCCACTATAATTCTGTATCTTTGGTTATCCAGAAATTCAACATATTGATGCTTCTTTATAGCATGTCTTGGTGGGCTATATAAAGCTGTGGTCAAAATTTCATAAGTTTTAATATTAACAGATGTATTTTTACTGTTTGGTAACCAATTTCTTGATAATGTAAAATAGATTTCTTAATTATACCTGCACTTCAGACTGTTTTGTGAAATATGTCTCAGCAATCAGACTGAAATATTTTTTTCTAATTCTAGAACTATTTGCAGCTCTTGTTGATGCTGCAGCAGTCCATTTGAATTTCATTCAAAAATTCTAAGATGATTGGCCATTTTTAGCCTTCTTGAGCACGATGTTCCAAATTTGAAATACCATCCATCTTGTCCAGTCTATCTTAAATTTTTTGGAACATTACATAAATATTTTTTGGGTTTTGTTGTACTGAATGTTGAATATATGGTTGTTTACTCATGTTTTCTTCAGCTACTGGGCGATATGTTTTGTTTTCATTATTTATTTGAGTTGCTTTTTGTGTTTCTTTTTTTATTAATATTTTATGTATAATTTATATGCGATAATAAGCAGGTTACCCTTCTCCACAATGGACACATTTTGGAGGGGCATTTCTGCATTCCACTGTTAAATGTTTTCCTGTACATCTAACGCATTTTGGTTCCTTTGAACAATATTTTTGTGTCTGTCAATATGCCTGACAAGATTTACATTGGGGAACTAGTTTAGTTTTTCTAATTGATTGAATGTCAGTTCTTATGCCCATGATATATTTTGTATTACATTTTTTATTGACAGCCTCATCATTACTAAATGATAGCATGAACATATTCAGCAGCTGTTTGGTTAAAAAAAAAAATAAAAATATTTGTTACTGTGGCGTAAAAATAGGGAATTCTGATAGCGCGCCACTGGTTAAATTTTTCAAGTTAGTACATGTCAAAATATTACTTTCTTGAAGTGCACATTAGTCACCAAATTTGAAAAAATATTTAAAGGCATTTTTACGGCAGCGTAGAAGGGTCACACTTTTTATTTCTGAAATTCCGTCTTTGAACACGGAATTCCATATTCAAACACGGAATTCCCTGTTTGAACAAGGAATTTTTGTGTTCGAACAAGAAATTCCGTGTTCAAACACGGAATTCTATATTCGAGCTATATTTTTTATTGTCATATTTACAGGATGTTCTTGGGGGACTTAAATTAAAATTTTAAGTTTCTCTTGAAGGCCGGAGGGGAGTGGGGGTGAAAAAAGATTGACACCGAAACGTTTCACCTTTGGTTTTCATACACGACGGACATATTATTTGTCAATTTCAATTCAGAAGTTGATTTTGTTTTTTAGATGCGCATATTTTGGTTTAATTATATTTTTTATGAAGTCATCATTTTTAGAAATTTGACGTCTTCACCAGTTCTCTAAATACCACCACTACTTTTTGAAAGTACCATTTAATAGAAATAAAAGCAAAAAAATTCTTAACCGGTCCCCAGTTTCTTAATTTTTTTCTAGAGATAACCAATAATTGCATTTAGAAAACACCCACTCACTTTACTCCTCTCTAATCATATGCGCTAGAGAGGCAAAGAGGGCAAATTAAATGCTATAGAGGGCGTAATTTTGATCCGATTCAAATGAAATTTGGGTATCAAGAACTAGACTCTAAGAAATAAGACTGACCTGGAAATGAAATTAAAGGAAAAATATTATGCAGGGACCAAAGAGGGCGAGACTTTTAGTACTACTTACGCCATCCCTCTTTCCAAAAGTCGGCAAAAAAAAATCTGAGGATATTTAAAGAATCCGTATTAACCCATCCCTCCTCAAGATCCTCAAGTCCCCCAAGAGTAACCTGTAAATTATCCATTAAAATTTATTTCTCGAATATAAAATTCCGTGTTCGAACAAGGAATTATGTGTTCGAACAAGGAATTCTGTGTTCGAACAAGGAATTCCGTATTCTAACAAGGAATTCCGTATTCAAACAATGAATTACGTATTCGAACAATGAATTCTGTATTCTAATAAGAAATTCCGCGTTTAAATACGGAATTCCGTATTTGAACAAGGAATTCCGTGTTCGAACAAAGAATTTGGTGCTCGAACACGGAATTTCAGATTTCCTAGTTCAAATAAAGAATTCTGTGTTTGAATACGGAATTTCAGAATAAAATAAAAAAACAAAAAACGTGGCCCTTCTACGCTACCGTACGTTTTTGATTTATGGAAAATTTTGAATTTAAATTTCAGAGTTTCAATACCTTGTATCTCGGTAACTAAGCCCTTGAAGATAACATTTGGGAAAGCAAGACCGACACCAACTTCAAGTGACAGACAGCAAGCAGCAAATTCTGCCATGCTAAAAGTGCTGTCGTCGGTCGCGCCTTCCCAAATGTGTATAATTACATGTGTTTAGATGTGAAGAAACCGTTTTCGGTCTCCTTCTCTTTCGCTTTACGCTTGTCGCTTTACTCGGTCTTGCCATCACAAATGGTACTTTGAGGGTTCAAATTCTTGTATCAAAATTCATCAATTTACAAGAGCTCACTACGTTTTCGGTCTAATATAATGACACCCTGTATTATTAACTATGAACTAATTTCAGTAACCCCAGTAACTAGAAATTGTTTATTATAAAACACACGCCAAGTAGAAGTCAACTTTAAAATGTACTTGACACATAATCAAATAAGCATTTTTCGTTTTAAATAAATTGGTACATAAATGACTATTTTTCTTCTTAGATGCGAACTCTGCCGGATTAAAAATCTGGCCATAATTTTATGACTCACCCTGTAGGTATGAATGAAAATAATTTCTAAATTTTATAATTATTTAAATTTTCCGATTACATTTTAACTGTAATTGGTATGTAAAGTTATAAATTATTCGCAATTTACAAAATTGGATTCCAAACAAAAAATAATATAAAACAATAAAATTCTAAATAATCAAAATTATCGTTTAATACTCACCGTCGAATCCTCTTTACACCCCAAAATGGAGTAATAATCTTCATCTTCGCGTTTTTTATAATCCAAAATATCTCCGACACTTGTCATGTCGCACACTTGGCTCTTTATCACTCGAAAATTCCCAGTGAACTGACCCACGAGAACGAGAATCCGGGAAACTGGGAGAAACCCACACCAGAAAAAAATATTACAAACTAAAACCAAACAGACTGTACAGCACAACCAACTACTTCACGGTTACTAGTTCATCAAACACAAGGTTATTTTTTTAATTTGTTATGTGTTGTAAGTGAAAGTTTATTTATTATCTAAAATTGTTGATACGGATTTGTTGTTGCAATGTTTTGAGAGTAGTATTTAGTATTTGAATATAAGGCATGCGCGAGTTTCGCGGTTTGCGCCGCTGAAGGATGTACCTACCAAAGATCGATGCCGTGATGGGGTAAAGCTGGGCTACGAACAGGCCAGTAAATATTCTTTTCACTCTAAAATCAATCTGTGTTTATTTACCGACTTATATAAATATATAGCGAGAGTAGGTATCCTATCACTTTAATTGCTACCAGAGGCCGTTAGTGCATTACGAAGACGAAGCGTATTCAATTATTTTCAGATACCTATCTGTTAAGATTAAATTAAGTTTTTGCCAATCATAATTATGTAAGATAAATTTTCCATTATCTCAAATGTGGTCAAAATTAATCAATAAAAATAAAAATAAAAACAGAAAATCGGTAGGTACCACAAAAATGAATTTTTCTAATTTTGACATATAAAGTGATATTTTGTGTGATAGCAGCAAGTGTCAAAATGATCTACGTTACGTAACTAGTTGCACAATGTTGAACATTATAAAACTGGTTAAGAAAAATTCATTGTAAATCTTTTTTTGTTTTAAAATCAATATATACATTATTATTGAAAGTTTATATCAAAAAAGGACAGGTTGACTTACTAAAATAGAATTTGGTTAAACTTACAACCTAGTAATAATGTTGTTTTGGTCCTTATTTTTCATACTAAATCAGCACAAAATAATTAAAACACAATACATGATAACATAACGTACTTTCTTGAAATCTAAATAATTTTAACAGGTATTATAAAAATATTACAAGTCGTTGAGAATAGAGAAATATTGCAAATTTCTATAACGCCAGCCACTAATAGTGACATCAAAATTAGAGTAAAATAAATTCCATGCCAAAATCAGACTTATTACAAACCTGAAATTTTGACATTAGAATCCTTGTCCTTATACTTATTTCTAACCTCATTTTAATAACTTTAAATTATAGTTCATCTTTTTTGTTGTCTATAATAGTACATAATATTAAAGAAGCATTAGAAATTATAATTTAAGAAGGTTAAGATGCCGATTTTATTAAATATTTAATATTAAAAAACTTCGAACAGATACGAATGTCGGCGAGCGCACTCGAAAGGTATAAAGTCGCCTCTACCTGCTGACTTTAAACATCCCCACAATTAAGGACAGGCACAATCTTTAAAAAAGTAAGTTTTAGAACATAAACGATCTGCGCATGCTTAAATGTCAAAATAAGAGCGGCACTAATAGTGACTGACTTTAAGTGAACTTAATAAATTAATAGAGAGTTATTGCAAGTTCACTTAAGGTCAGTCACTATTAGTGCCGCTATTATTTTGACATCTGAGCATGCGCAGATCACTAACTTTAATAAAGATTGTGCCTGTCCTTAATAGAGAGATATTGCAAATTTCTATAAAGCCAGCCACTAAACTTTAAATTATAGTTAATCTTTTTTGTTGTCTATAATATTAAAGAGACATTACAAATTATAATTATAGAAGGTTTAAATGACGATTATAGTAAATATTTAGTATTAAAAAACTTCTAACGGATACGAATGTCGGCGAGCGCATCCGAAAACTATAAAGTCGCCACTACCTGCTGCCCTTAAACATCCCCAATTAAGGTCAGGCACAATCCTTAATAAAGTCAGTTTTAGAACATAAACATCTACGCATGCTTAGATGCCAAAATAAAAGCGGCACTAATAGTGACTGACCTTAAGTGAACTTGCAATAACTTTCTTATTAAGAACAGGCACAATCTTTATTAAAGTTAGTGATCTGCGCATGCTCAGATGTCAAAATAAGAGCGGCACTAATAATGACTGACCTTAACTGAACTTGCAATAACTCTCTAATATAGGGGCGTTTGATTTGAAACTCGATCGAGCGAGCGTCGAGGAGACCGAGAAGTGATGACGTCACAATAGAGCATTGAATCAAATCAAATAAAACAGAGTAAAAAACATAACCTCGCTTTTTTGTGATTCTTTTTTCTGGTTTGTATGTTAAAATAGTAAGCAAAAAGTAAAGAAAATGGAGAAACTTTTAATAATAAGGGGTAATGGCCCTGAAATGCAGCATTTACCACAAATGCCCGCTTCGCTCTCCTACTCCATGACTGTGATTACTGGTGATTAGATCTGGACAGAAAAAATGTATTTCGCAAACACACATTTTGTGTTTTTTTATAATGAATAATTTTAGCTATAAGACAAAAGCGGCTAAGTAATTTGTTGAGTTCTTGTCTGGTCTTTAATTTTGAGATTCAAATTTGTTTGTAAGTTAATTAAAAAGAGATAGGTAGAGACAAAGACAAATTTCTCCCTCTTCTCGATCTTTCTGCTCTGAGAACATCGAGCTCGCTCTATGTTCTCGCTCCAAAGCGAAACAAACACTTTAGGGATCTCTCGGAGTGTCAATTCAAACACTTTTGAAGCGCTCGGAGATCTCCGATGATCAAATCAAACGCACCATATGAATTCTCGTATTTGACAATAAAAGAATAAGGTTAATCATATGCAACTAACAATACAATGAAGTAGTAATATTAGTAGTCGAGGCAATGAAGCACTAAAAAGGTCAAAAGTTCGAAATTTTTTAGACTAAGTCGGATCGGAATGCGGTTTTTTGTACTGGCTTTCAAACATTTTTTTGGAAAAAATATCCCTACTTTTTGTCCTATACAAACCGGAAATTGCAGTGCTGCAGCCAAAAATGCATTCAAAAAATGCATTTTTTCAGATGGTTTTTGGAAGATTAAAGAACTTTGTAAATAAGTGTCAGAACTGGCCTAAATCGAGTTCTCGGGGATTTTTGAGGTCGCTGATCACGATTATGATGTTCAAATTGACCCGCAGCTAGTGATATCCGAGTTCCAGATAGTCAAAAAGTTAACTATAAAACACCTATTCTATATACATAGTAAGTTTTAAGTATGGAACGCCTCAATTATCTCGGAAACGGCTTGCACGATTTTTATTTATGGTGACCCGTCAAATGTTCTTCGAAAAAAGCGCCCCGACAAAAGCGCCATCCGAAATTTTTTTGCAAAAAAAACTAACCAACGAACAGAATCGTAATAATTTCCATGCAGTCAAATTTTTCGGAGGTTACTTTTGGAGATAAATTAGAAAGAACAATTTTTATGTGTTTTTTTTCGAAAAACTGTCTAAGAAAAAGTAAAAGAAACGAACGTATAATATATTGTTTTGCTTCAAAATGCTTTCATTTGATATCACACGAAAAAAATTCTAACTTCGAAATGAAACCCAACCCTCTCCAAACTGACTTCTAAGACAAAGTATTTATAGCAGGAGCAGAAGTTGGAAAGGCTTTTGCTAGTTCTCCAACTTCATACATATAACTTGACAGGTTTGCGGCGGATCTAACCGAAGTGGACGCGATACATTTGGCGTACAAAATTATTTTTAGCTGTTAATAACAATTTCGAGTAAATACTTTAATAAATTGTGAATAGCTGTTGAAATTTTGTAAAATTATGATTTGGGTATTATAATACATGTTTAATAATTATTTATAGTCCATAAATACATGCGTTTTTTTTTTCTCCTGGGCTCTTCTGACTTTGTCTCCGAATAACACTGAAGCCTATTGGCTTATTGTGTTTTACCCCATGTTAGTTCATAGCACCCACTCTGTCACCTTTGTACCTCGTACAAGTTTGTACAGATCCTTGGGTGAGTGGGTTCTATACGTTGTTCGATCAACCTGGGGTTGTCCAAAAAGAACCTGTCTTTTGCGATCTAGAGCTTCGCATTCGAACAGTATGTGTTTGGCCGTTTCTGGTTTCTTGTGACATAGTCGGCACATGAGTTCCCCATTGTACATGCCAATTTTGTTAAAGTGTCCCTTTACTGGGGCGTGCCCAGTCATGAACCCTGTTATCACTTTCAACTGGTTCCTATTCATAAAAAGTAGTTTTTCAGTTCTTTTGGGACATGGTCTGCCTATGAAGGCTTTTCCATGTGCCTGTTTTGGGGTGCTTCCCCAATAGTTAATATATTTTTCCCGAATCCAGTCGTTTATGAAACTCCGGGCTGTCCTTTTTGGTACTCCTAGGATTGTGTCTGGTTCCAGTGTTTCTTCTGTCCCTCTTTTTGCAAGTTCGTCAGCCTTTTCGTTGCCTTCGATCCCTTGGTGACCTAGCACCCAAAATAGTTTTACTCTATTTCGGACTGCCAGTGTTCTTAATTCTTCAATGCATTCCCATACCAGCCTCGACGTAACTTTCTGACTCGATATGGCGTTAAGTGCCGCTTGGTTGTCTGACATTATTTGAATATGCTGATTTTCGACAGCTCTTTCATTGTTCGTTTTTGCACATTGCAAAATTGCGTATACCTCGGCCTGAAATATCAAGGAATGTATTCCTATAGCATAGCTATAGTTAGTATCAGGGTTTTTGGATAATACTGCCGCCCCAGTGCCTTCCGCAGTCTTAGACCCGTCTGTATACCAGGTTTGTTCTTGTCGTTGGGCATTGGGCTCCCTTATGGTGATCTTCGCTCTTTCCTGTATTAAAACCTCAAATAAAGTATTAAAAGAGTACCTCTTGGTTATGTGGTCTGATCTCATGTCTAGCACGTCTCCTGTCCCTCCCCTAACCTTGAGATACTCATGTAAACATGGCCTAATGTCAAGATTTCCCAGTGTATTTCTTAATTTGTAAGCACCTTATCTTGCCTCCCCTCGTATCACATAGTGAAGAGGTGAGAGTCCTATTAGTGCTTCCATTGCAGCTGTGGAGGTTGTTTTCATTGCCCCCGTTATTTTGAGTCTTTGTACCTTGCTTAGCCTCGTTATTGCTTTCCTTTGCTGTGTCTTTGGCCACCACACCAAAGCTACGTATGTTATTATCGGTCTCAAATACATGCGATTGTCCAGTTCTTATTCTATGAAACGACACTGGCAGGTAAACATTACTGCAAAATTTTCGAAGTCGTCCGACGTGGTTTGACGTTTACCCCCTCTCTACCTACCAAAAGCCTTTCCAACTTCTGCCTCTATTATACATTCTTAATTAACGCCCAATTTGGGCCACTGATTACTTTAA